GGGAAAGAGAAAGGGAGGGAGGGGGGAGAGAAAGAGAAAGAGAGAAAGAAAAAAAAGAAAAGCCAGAATCTTCTCCGGAGCATTCAAAAGAAGATTAAAAAGTCACATCTCCAAACTCAGGAGTTATGTTACCCAGTTGAAGGAATGTAGGATCACACTTTTGAAATAACTATTACAGGCTAAATGTGTGAATGTAACTATAAACGCAGTAAGATTTCAGGAAAGGGAGAAGGAAACGAAAACTATAATTGTCAGAGGAGACTCTAAAAAGGTCAGGTGTGAGTGAAAGAAAAGACGGCAGCACCACAGCTGGCGACGGCGGTGGTAATGAAGCTATGCTCACAGGAAGCGAGAAACAACCTGCCAGCACCACGGAATGTACAGAGGATCTTCCACCTTCTACCACCACTCCGCTTCTCCTCTTTCTGCAATGCAGGCTCCACAACTCTGATAATTTTGGGAAATCCAATACTTGAGCTTCTAGATTTTCAGGCACCTTACTCTGTGACGATCCTCTGCCCTTCGCTCTCGCTCTTTCACTGCCTCAGTCTCTGTTTCCTACTAGTTTAATGTGAAGGCAGTTTCCTATTTCTGAAGAGAAAATAAGGATTACTTCCCCCATTTGCGAGAAGACCCTTTCCCTACAGAACATAGTCTCTCATGTGCAAGAACAACTCAAACCTACTGCCTCCTACCAGTCCTTGTTCTCTTTATCAACCTGGAAAAGAGAGAGATTCTCCAAAACACATTTTGGGGGGGACCAGCACAGATTTATCAGGGAGCCATGCATGCCAGAGTAAAACATGGACATATTTGAAAACACGTGAATACCTGATAAACTCCCACACTCAGCCCTCTTAACCTGCTCTTGACCCTGTCACCCTCCCCGACACCTCAGCCGTACATACCCAGCAGCCGCTGAAACAGGTTTTTGTCTGGTACACCTGTCCTGGGATCCTGCGGAAAGGGTGGAAGGGCTCCTTTTTCAGGAATAACTAAGCGTAGTCATGACTCTTAAACAAAACGGCCACATGCTCCTGAGCAAGGTCCCACATGCCCGAGTGACTCAGACTTCGGAGTCACAGCACAGAACTTCTTTTACACTTCAGATGTTTTATAGGCATGACTGAAAAAGATGGTGACCGTTTAGATTAAAATTGTAGTATCGTAAACGCTGCACTGCCGTTGATCGCCCGACTTCGAACGCCCTCAGCCCGCTGCTCTCCCCACTCTGAGGTAGTTATGGAAATCCGCTTTCAGGTCTTTAGCTGTGCTGTTGCAGCTGCCTCAATATCCCCGATTGATTCAGAGCTTTTACCTTACACGGTCATTCTGGCTGTGCGGAAGAGCCAGAAGTCGCATGGTGCAGCTCTTGCGGGTAAGGTGAACGAGGACATGCAGCAAGAGTCTGTGAGCTAATGAATGGGCTGTGCCTCATAGCAAGGGCAATAGTTTGAGGGGGATTAATGACAGCGCGTCTTTTTAAAAACATTCACCATAAAAATATTCACCTTAGAAAAATCACACCTCCTACACCTAAAATCAAACTGCTACTATGTAAATTGCCTCATTCAGATACATGGCAAACCTCAAAACTTCTGACCAGATGAAGCACATCCTACTAAATAAAGCCTCAAACTTCCCGACAGGGTCGTGTTACCCCGGCAGGCCCGGGCCCCGCAGAGAGACTCACTTGTGTACACACAGGCTACCTGATCCCCAGCAGCGGATCTTGCTAACTCCTCTCTGCATCTCCCATTCATCTGCCTGCTGTTACAGGCATGATCTAATTAAACAGTGCCTTTTTATTGTGTTAGTCCTCTCCGCAGAAACGTCCCACTTTAGAAACCAAAAGTGTAAGTAAGGACCGAAATGTATAATATGGATTGTGAAATAAGAAGAAAATCTTCACATGGGGAGGGGAACAAGCAGAGGGGAAGGGGAAAGGAAAAAGGGAAAAGGAAAAAAAAAAAAGAAGGAAAACATGAGAACAAAATTAGTAAATGGGGAGGGGAGGAGGGGTTGAAGGCAGGGTGAGGGAATGGGGTAGAAAACAAGTTATATCGTGTACAGGTACGAATTCCCTGTGATGACTGTGATCATTATGTATATCTAAAATGTACCAACAAAATCCGATTTAAAAAATAAACAAAGCTCACTGCGATTTAACACCATAAAAAAAAGTCCTACTTGAAATTCAGCTTTCGAAAGGCCAGCCACAAGTGAGCCTCACCCAGCTTCCCGCCGCTCACGCCCCTCGCTTTTACTTGGTGTTTTTGAGGGACCGACACAGTGAGACTTGGACTTTAGAAAAGTTCAGTCGCTCCTATAGCCAGGAGAAAGTGGAAAGGAGAACAGTGGCAGGAAGGAGACTGTGGCAATCGCGGATGTAGCTTTCAGCAGAAAGGTTTCAGGGGAGGATTACACACCAGTTCACAGAGCACAGTTGAGAGACAAGGTGATAAGAAACTGGGGCAACTTTGTGCATGGTGCAATTTACAAAACAAAAGTGTTTTTCTTTTGGTGTGTTTCTAAATAGGACTGAATTTATATGTGAAGGAAGTAAATATAACCACCTTTAAGTTTCCTCATTAATACAAAGAATTGTAACACCGTAAATATTTAGAAAATCTGCCAATTTTTTTTATAATAAAAAATCTTTATGCACAGGTTTAAGTACATAAAATCATGCATTTCCTTTCCTGATTAGAACTGATTGGTAAACCCTGACGGTCTGGTGACCAATGGCGTCGAGACAACTACTGTGAAGTATCTATTCACAGTTTACCTGGAAGCCTCAAATGATCATTACCATTCCGCATTATTACCTGTTACTTGCTCTAATTTTCACAAAAGCCCTGCAAATGGGTCCACAGAGGTTATGTTATGGTTGCCAGATAAAGTACAGGAGTTAAATCTGGGATAAAGCAATTAAATTTTCTTTTCTTTTTCTTTTTTCTTTTGGTACCGGGAATTGAACTCAGGACCTTGAGCTTGCCAGGCAGGCACTTACGCCACTGAGCTATATCTCCCTGGCCATGAATTTTTGAGAAACAAATAACTGTTTATGTATCCTGAATAATAAATAAACTATAAACTGCAATGTACGTGCTGCACAGTACTTGCAATACTTACATCTAGGACTGGGGACATATTTATACTCACACTTTTTTTAAAAAGCATTTATCTGAAATTTAAATTCAACCAGGTATCTTGTACTTACTTACTTATTTATTTATTTATTTACTTATTTGTAGTACTGAGGATTGAACCCAGGGCCTTTGCACTGAGCTATATCACCTGCCATTTTATTTTTATCTTATACTTTGAAATATAGGTTCTTGCTAAGATACGTGGGCTGGGCTTGAACTTGTAATCCTCCTGCCTCAGCCTGATTTATATGCATGCACCACTGTGCCTAACCTTGTATTTGTATTAATTTTTATTTTTTTATTTTTTATTTTTTATTTTTTTTTTATTTTAAAGAATAAAAGA